TGCGTTACAAGGCTTCCTGTGACTTTCGAATATCAAACTCTGTATCTCATTCATATTAATCTTTCAATTTATTTAAAATTCTTTTTAAATTTTCTTCAATTAAGTTTTTAATGTTAAACAGCTTGATAATTAATCCTCCAACAAAACACTTCCACTTGATAAATTATGCGGGAAGGAAAGAGAATATTGCTATAATAATTTGTGCACCGTAAGCAATGCCACGATAAAGCAATCTCGTTCGGGGCAACAATCAAACGGATTGCTGTACGCACATACTGATTTCGCGTCGCAACGCGTAATCGTAAATCTTGCATTCGTAGAGTGCCATAAAAAAATATTAGCTGGCAAAAATTTTCTATTCCCTTTCACTTATAGTACACCGCTCGTGATGGTGACGCAAGCACGACAGTACCGCGAGTTTCCATCGCGTATCCTCGCGATCATGCATACTTGAGGAGCGATTATAGTCTCCGTATAAAAGAAGATACAGAAATCACATTCGAACGTTTCACCTTTTGGTGATACTTGGTGTAATTTGGTCTTATTTGAGAGATATATATATATATATTCCAAGTGGTTGGAAGACTGAATCTTCTTAATGCAATATATTCAAATTGCGCACGTGTATTCGCGCAAACGCGAATAAGATCACATCCGGGACCTTCCGCTCGCAGCTGTTAACCGAGTTAACCGAGTTAACCGAGTTAACCGAGTCACCCAGCCCGTCCTCACCTCATTTCTCGTCGCCGCGCCGCACTCTTATTGGGCATTTTACTGTATTCCACGGTAGAATAACTCTTGTTTTGTCAATGGTCGGATTTGCGGTTTCGCAAGCATCTCGTAAATTTTACAACAATTCTAACGGCATATACTACGAGAGAGTTGCCCGTTTATGAAGAGACCAAACTACACTATCGTTGATAAGGCATATCGTAAAGCATATCGTTATCGAACACGTAGTCGTTTGAACTTTGAATTAAGTTGGTATTATTTTTATCTACACAACACAAATACTTTGTAATCTTATCACGAATGCAATTTTTATCACCCATTATTAATAAAATATCAAAATTCACAAATTCGTATAAAATGAACAAGACATCGTCAAGAGTGTTGCCAAAAATAATCATGTATCGTAAAATATCGTATTATTCGAGATGATGATCATTCCCGATAAATTGAAAATTCATCAGATAAATATCGCGTCAATATTTACAATTCACGATGTTTGACGAGTGGGAAATCGATTTATAAAGTCAAATTAAATGTAAACTGTTAAGCAGCGAAAGATACTTCCGTTTATGCATATTATGTTTTGCGGATGTTGTATCAATCGAGAATCTGATTTGCAAATTAACGTGCCACGATATACGTGCGAGATAATTCTCACTCGACTTGAACTTGTCTCTCGCCACCAACTCGATCTATTTAAAATCTGTTACAGCCGCTCGCGGAAAATCTATCTTGCGTTTCTAACGTGGGAGTTAGTTTTTCTTTCGGAAGAAGAGCGATCGTCCTAATATCACACGAGGATGGAGTGTGTGATGATCGCTCGAATCGTACGCTTCTAAAAATACTCTCAACTAGTTGAAAAGCCAAACGGCTACTGTCCGGTTTCACAGATTTTCTCCGAGTTGAGACATATGTCCACATGTTAACGTTGGCGAATCGCGTTCCAAATATTAATTAACCCTTACAGCCAGGTAGATGTTAATGTCAAGCCGACTGATGTTCCTTCGACTTTCTCTTTTAAGCGATATGTAACTGGTAAATAACTGGTAAACGAGTTGCTTGACGATAGTCAGTGACGTAAGTGTATTGTGGGTATCGATAGAAAGTCGAAAGGAGATGGGAGGATACAATACCTTCCCTTTCCGCAGTAATGCGGAATAATTAAATTGAAATTTAATTCAATGACTAGCGATCCGGTAATTAGCGCGATTACCGGATACGACTGAGATCTCATAAAATTGCAGAAAGATCTACTTTCTCTTTATACGGACAATTCCACGTGAACTCGCTTGACCTCGAACGACCGACTTCACAACATCCACGAATGTCGTTCAACGGAGCATCCACGCACCGCGAGTGTCGATGACCAAACGGGCGGCGAAAGATAATATGTGAACCGGAGCTCAGGTGTAATAAATCGGAGCGCGAACAGGGACGTCGAGAGAGACGTGTTGTGTTCCAAGTATATAATTAATATATGATAAATATATGATTGATCGAAAAACATGCACGGCTTCCCGGTTTTCATGATCGTAATCTTGACGAGATAACAGCTATTATTATTATTTATGTGCTTCGCTTTATCTTGAATTGACATAATATCGCAAATAAACTATCAAGGTGAGTAATGCAACTTTTTACACGACGATTTTCCTTTCGTCTTTTACTATGAAAGGAAAATCCGATATGTAATGACGGTTTCTCGTTCGAAAGGCAAGTACGATCATAGATGCATTACTCGGATAGTCTTTGCTGTAATTGCTTCATTGTTTCATTGTGTTTTTCGATGTAACAATAACGGGACAAATATCACAATGAATCTCAGTCGTGCTGTACCGCGAGCTGCGAGAGAACTGCGGATGTGGAGACGGAATTAGCTCAAGGTGTTATCTCGAATTGAAAACTCTGAAGAGAGAAGCAGAGCAGAATTAAGTTTCAGTTAATAACAACGCGGTATAAAATACCGAGATAGATGCAACGAGTTTACCAGGAAAATAAAGAGTCTCTCTCTCTATACGGTTCGGAACACTTGGAACACCGACTTTCACGTTCTAAATTCCATTATCTTTACCGTACACTTTTTACAACCACGTGCTTCGAAACAATGCTGTTTAATCAACCGCGGTGAGGCAATCTGTTCGATCGATCCTTGAACGAGCTCCGTAGAAACTCCCTCACATAATTAGAGATAAAGAAAAGGATAAATTTTCCATCAACTGTGGCTTACCAAAATGCATATCCACTATGCCGAGTAGGAAGAGCGGCGCACCATTGTTGTATCTACGTGTCAGCGCGAGAGCACGCGTATCCACAAGAAGAGCAACTACGAAGAATCGAGAAGCATCGAGACTCTACAGCAGTCAGCACTACGAGCACTCACGAGCTTCGGCAACGAAGCGCATCTTTTTCTTTTTTCTTTTTCTTCACACGGCGTTTTTTTCAAACGCACCGCCTCAGACCTCCCCGCTTCCACGCGGCGGTTTCGTCGCACTCGTGCTCGTTACGATGCATGAATGACTCCTTTGCCGCGCCGCGCCGCGCCGCGCGGGGTCACGCCAGGGTTCGTTCGCGGCAATCGACGGCGACGTGCGGCGACGTGCGGCGACGTGCGGCGACGTGCGGCGACGGAGAAACCACGTCGAATGGACCGCGCGAACAAGTTTGAGCTGCGAGTGTTGCCGTGGTGGTATGTCTCGGTTAGATAGGATGGACGGACGGATGGAAAAACGAGTAGGAGGCGAAGGAAGAAGGGGAAGAGAGCCCGTGCGGCGGCCGGTTAGACCCGTAGGAAGAAGAGACTCGTCTGGCTGACCCACGATACCACGATACCGTCGAGTATCGAGATTACGTGAGTGACCATGGATTCTTCCAGAAAGAACCCCCGCTGCTTTACGAAAACGGAGGGAATACTGACGCGGTATAAGATGCCGGACTGCGGTGGTACAGAAGGTGGCCCGTGGCCGACCCACGCGGTGCACAAAGCTACGCGATGCCGCGATCACAAATCAAACACGAGAGACGCGCACCATTTGCGTGTTTAAATATAGCGATGCTCCAGAAAAAAAGAGGGACGAGAACTAGACGAACGGAAAGAGATGATGAGGAAGAGGGAAAGAGAAAGAAACGCGAAAAGAACAGGGCGATGAATGTGAGGAGGGGAAGGAGGAAGGGAATCTTGGATCAACGTGTTCGCGTTGTAACGTGCCCGTCCACCGGCGGCGACCGTGGAACGGCGAACTCTGTCGGCTCGCCGCTCGTGCAGCCGGCAGGCAGGCAGCTGCTAGTCTCTCCAAAGCAACGAAGCGCGTCGTTTCTGTCCGAACGCAAGCCTTCGGGAAAGATCGGAGCCCGGAACAAAACAACAACGTGGGGTATGGTATACACGCCGACTGTTTCCTCCCCCCCACTCTACCTAGGTACCATCACATCCGTTCCTCCTCTTAGCTGTTGCGTCGCTCGGTCTTAGCCAGCGAAAATTCAATCCGGCACGCACGTGCTAGACCAATGCGGCATTATTCTTAGCACGTATTCCGCCGAATCGTGCCGCTTCCTAGCATTCCCGTTTCGTCATTAACAATTAAATCGGTTAATAAATGGATTGCTTCGGCTGGAGTTAATTTATCCGCAGATTTATACTCCGTTCCGCTTTGTGCATTTTATGCTATCCAATTTACTTATGAAAAAAAAACAGGAAGACAAGAACAAGCGCATGCATAAAATTATCTGAGCTTTAAAGGCAATCACCTTCTTTTTTGTAGAAATTTTCAAGAAAAATCTTTAATCCTAATACATATTTGTGGGTCCAATGAACTAGGACATTTTTTCCAATCGTTCCAATTTGTTTATTTTGAAGATCAATATCCGAGAAATAACATTACGTAACAAAATAAAAAAATCATTCAATTATGTTAATTTTAAGCAGATGTATTAATTTTAAGTACCCTTGGACCTATGAATACTATTTAAAGAAATTTCGGAGCGATTGGGATTCTTCTTTGTTTATTATTTAATTCTTAATGGAAAAAATCAAACGCGTATTAGAGCATATGTTAAGTTTTCTATAGATGCGTTTTTTTCTACAAGTGGATGATACTTTCCCACAGTAAAATGTAATAAAGTAAATAAAAGGGAGACCCAAAGGGACATCTGGTGTATCATCTGTAAAGTACACCACATGGCGAAATTTGCCGACGAATGAGAAAGATAGGAAAATACTAATAACTTTATTGTTACGTAAATGTAACGATTAAAAACAATACGTCACTTACCATGTGCTCTACCGCTTTGTCCTCCAGTTCTGGCAAAGTCCAGTTGATGTGGAAGCTCAAAGGTTGAAGACGTGACTCCATTTCTCGTAACCATTTTCTTAGACATTTCACTTCGCGTTCAAAATCTGTTGGAACAGATCGATTACGTTTACATTAACAAACCATACGAAAGATACAATTTTTCAAAGGGCAACAACCCATTACCTGCTGATATATCTTGTTGACTAGATACTGGTTGGTCTATGGGCGCCATAATTTGCTCAACTAGTTCCCATTTTGCATTCAAGTGATCTACACGCCACGCCACTTCATCTTTTAAAGCAGGGGCGCGAGAAATTAACTTTTCCGCTTGCTCATTGAATAATTTACGTCTATACGCCTTGCGTCGTAGCTCTTCCATATGAGCCTGATTAATTGAATTTTTAACATTACTTTAAGAGATATATTAATTTCATTTAGAGATTTATTCTTATCATATATTTTGAATATATCAGATTCAACCTGATACGTACTGCACGCAGGCTTTTGTCTAAAAGATTTTCTTCTTTAGAATAGACCAATTCTTGAAGAATTCTTAACCACGAGTAAAGCTCTGAAAATTGATTGCTGACTTCCTTCAAGGTCCACGAATGCGTCGACACGTCTGTTTCGTCCCATGTCAATTCACCATTTGCTTCCTTAAATTGATAATAAAATTGTTCAACATTTATATCTCACGCTATATATCTGTGCATAAAAAAGACTTAAGACATTTCACACAAATCTACCTTGCAAGTATCGATTAAATTAGTATCCATAATATAATCATAATTAGATCTTATAGCTGCCCAAAAGTCATCTTTGCAGTCTTCGTAGTTTATCCACATTCTTTGAACATTTGTTTGCTTTGGATCTTTCCTAGAAATGCATACAAGTTGAATTAATATGTTAGCCAACAATAAGTCAAATAAAAGAAGCATGAGAGATGTACTGTATGACTAATATACTAGTGACTATAAATATTAATAGAAGCAAACCTTTTCTTGGTAAGACTGTTGTACAGTCTTTCCGTCGTGGTTCTAACATGTTTCTGCCTTTCTAAGCTTTGACTATTTGGCTGAAGTGACGTTAGTGAGGTACTCATCCTTTTTGCCTTGTGGTAATCTGCATTCAAAATGTATTAAACATAATAAGATTATCTCTTTCCGACTTGGAGAACAAAATTATAAAAATTGTAATCCTTTTTATACAATAATACGATTATAGATCTAGTATTTTTTAAAGAGTGTTTTGAACTGGTGTATACTGATACAATAAGTTGAAGTGAAACAAACTACGAGTACTTTCCATTTGATGACAAGTTGGCACAAATGTCGTTCCATCTTTATTACTCACCGAATGTCAAAAAAGATAGAATGATGTTTGTGGTTACTAAATGGAAAGCATCCTATATTTGTTTTCACTCTAACTTATTTCACCAGTGTAGTCCAGGCATTCTTCAAAAAAGAACGGACCTTTTATTCGACAACTTCATTTATCATATTAGTATATCGTAATCAAAAAATACACGTATGAGCACATTTTGTATCATGAAATAATTTATTGCGTAACACCTTCGCAGCTCCTTTTTGGGAATGTGCATTACTCAGAGAAGGAGAAACATTAGACTCCAAGGCAATTCGTTTGGATATAATTCAAGTCGAAACGAGTTTCCGTTCTCGGCGAACGCTGATTCTTCGCAGCGAGCGCTAAAATAGCAACACGGCGCGAGTGTTTGCACGAATGTGCTAATTCCAGAAAAAGAAAAAAGGGAGAGAAGAAAGTTGCGCCTTGCGGAGCGCGCGACTCCAACCAGACTCAACTTTGCCATTTGTCCGTCGGTCGAGATAAGACCGCAGGAAGGCGCGGCGCGAATCAAGGAGGTATCAGGATCGGTATGCTCACCCGTGTTGTCGACAGTCATCGGTTAGGTTGTTTTTGGCCCGGTAGCGCGCATCACCGCTACCGTCTCGCCGACGAAACCGCTGGGAAACCGGAGAGCTGCTCGACGTCGATGGCTCGCGCGGGAGCGGGAGGGCGAGGGTAGGTAGTGGGGCGTCTGCACACACATCCGTAGACCGAGGACACACCTGTGCTGTCGCCACGCGGAGGGGGGAGGGGAGGGGGAATGTCACCGGGCGATGAAAAATTTCATCGCTCGCAATCACCGGCCACCGCTCGCGTTTCCCGACCGGAACGAAATCTACGTGCGACGCTACGCCGACGACATAACCTTCCTCGAGACGTCCGGAACACGCGACACGACGCGAGACAGCCGAGTTCCCACGGCGACAAAGAGCCGCGTACACCGCCAATAACACACCCCGTACCCTCCGCGCGTTCGCCGTTTCTTGTGGTTTCTTGTGGTTTCTTGTCCACGGTGCGCGCGGCAATCCGACCGTCGGATAAGTCGGACTATGGCCAGAACGTTCCTCGACTCGATGATGCGCCGGGCCGCACCCGCACCCGCACCGCCTGCCGAGCGTGAGAACTCGGAATTCACCGTCCTCGACGGTGCCTCGTCCACTCTACTCGATGTCAGTCAGTCAGGGACGAGCCTTCCCCAGATAAGCATTTTTCGGACTTCGGAGCACGTAACTCCCAGAAGGAGACCCACAGGTGCAGCGAGCGAGCACAGGTGCGGCGCCGACTAACGGAAATTTCCCGGATGACGATTGACGTTTCAACGAAGCGCGACGGTATCGATGCACGATAAAACAGTTGATACCAGACTAACCTCGCTAACCTGCGATTTAATTCTAACCTACGACTTACGAGCTACGTGGAATCTTGTTGTTCGTTCCAGAGCGTTCTTCATTCCAGAAAGATTGTGCACGAAACCTTAGAAATATGACAACGACGAATTACTTGGACTTGGACATAAATAAGCTGTTCGAGCAGCACACCATTAAAGAAATCGAAGAGATTCAGAAGAAGATTCAACTGGAAAGTGATAGGAAAAAATTAGAATTGCGGACGTTAGTTGGGTAAGGCTCGTTCACGTAGTTCAATTTAGCTTGTTTTTTTTTTTTTTAATTATTAAAATACCATCTTTACATACTATCAAAGTTTATCTTTAAATTTACAAGAAAGTGTATTATTCATAATGTATTATTCGAGAGATTACTTACATATTAAATCTTTAAGAAACGTCTGTCAGTTTTTATATTACCGATTTTCAGGGAAAGATATCGGGATTTAATATTAGCTGCCGACACAATTGGAAAAATGAAGATAACGTCTGAGAAAGTTACCTCGAGAATAATTAACATAGAGGATAAATTTAGGGAACTGCAAAAGAAATATCTTATTGGTTTCAAGACAGAGCCGATTGAAGATAAGCTAGACAAGTATTTTTTTTTTCAAATATTGCATATATTATTCGAATGCAGTTTATAAACATTCGAAACTAAGCTGTAATTTTTTGTAGAAGAGGACATATTTTTGACTCCGTTATCATCCAAATCAAAATCTTAATGGACATTCCACAATACATTTGGACGAGCATCGAGAATCAGAATTTGTTATTTGCCACGCAATTATATATAATAGCGCAACATATAAATTACAGTCTAATGTTCGAAGTCGGCAGCATCGAGTTGTCACAAAGATATCCAATTGTTTCAAAGCAGTGGGATGTTATCATGCAATTTAAGAATATTATATCTAATGAATGCAACAAAATATTGCAATCGTTGGATGTTTCAACCATAGTTGGTATACAAATTGTTGCTTATTTTGTGATATTTAATTATTACTTACTGACGATACATTTCCCTTGTAGAATGCTGCAAACTGCTTGGCGTCTCTGGTATTTTTAAATGAATCGTCATTCGCGGATCTTTTAGAAAAATTAATATCTACAAGATGTATGGCCATTGAATTTGTCATTAAAGGAGAAGGTCATGACAGTGTTAAAAATAAGCTCAAATCGTGTATGAAAATACTTATACAAACTGTCCATTTAATATATTCATGCTTTATAAGTAAGTATTTTATTTATCTTACAATCTGAATGCAGTAAACACACAGAAAATTTTATTTTGTATCTTACATGTGATTATAGATGCAGATAATGCACCTGGAGGCTTGGTCTTACAGTTTGTAGCAGACATAAAAGATCAAGAAGCGTATTCTTTACTGTCACAGCTAGATTTAGATCAAGATTTACTTCAAGAATTTCTACCATCCGTTACCAAACATCACAAACCATTCGTTCAGGATATACCAAAAACCTTTTCTTTATCAGCGCTTCAAAATAGTGTTAAATCTTGGTTGGAGTGGGTGAATAATTTTTCTAATCTCGAGATCACTAAATTATTGGATTTAATAGTTTCTATTAAAGGCCTATATAATGTTCGGGAAGAAGCTATCAGTATAAATCTACCAGAAAATTGGAATTCAATATGGGAGGAGCTTTCATTACCGAGAATAAGTTTCTGGATAGAATTCTTCCAACCTATTATAACTAGACGAGCAAAATGTAATTATATCTATATAAAAAAGTAAAAAGATTCCTCACTTACTTTAATAATTAATAATGATTTGTTATATAATAGGTATTATAACGAATAAATGGACGGATGCGCTGGCCGATTTAAAATCCGATATAACAGAATTACTCGATAAGATAGCGCATGATAAATTTGAATTTCCGGAACACGATTTACGATGGTTTGTGTGGAAAGATTCCCCCACTGACATTCCGCAGAAGCTTACAAAGAATGGTGGTTTAGATAACAAAAGATCCTTATTAATGAAGGCTAAAGGATATTCCCCAAATGTGATAAAATTATGTGAAAAATTTGACGAAAATCTATATGCACTATTATCCGATCTTGAGCACTATTTATACGAGACTGAACGAGTAATAACAATAAAAGATAGTTTACTTTGGGCGAACATATCTCTAATAGCGAATTCATTCTCTGATCGTAATGAAGTTCAAGAACATTTACAAGTAATCAGCACAGAAAAAATCGAAAATCTTGTACAGTTTATAAAGAACACATGCGTCAATGATAAACCCAAACATGGTCAAAGTGATATAAACGCTATAGTTTTAGCAAGATTTCTCTTTGCGTTAACTACTCTGTGCCCGAATTTAAATAAGTGTTTCACATCGTCGAAAGTATCCGGACTTACCATTACGAATGTCAAGTGGCAAGCTGTTTGTGACAATTTAAAGGAAGAAAGTACTTGCATGTGGTCCATTTGGGCTAACATATATAAAGTTAAAATATCTGAATATATGAAGAAATATATATTAAGAGAGCCAATTGATGGGCTACGTGTCCACTGGATCGTTTCAGAATGGGAGAAAGTTACCATCGAGGAAGAATCTGGAGAAGGAAAGCGAATAAAGTCTGAAATTTTAATACCTTATCAACCATCGATACCATTGCAAAAATTCTTGACCGCCATTTGCAAAGATTTAAATAAGATTATACCTCACACGCTTCCAAAGTAAGTAAATAATGCAACATCATGTGAATTGAGATAGTTTATTTATCATAATACATTCTGTTTTTTCAATTTTAGGAGAGTACTACAGCAAATTATCGAAAGTATTATTACAGAACTATTCAACTATTATCTTAATGCATCTAAAAACATAGACCTTAGACAAAAGCAAGCGTTTCAAGTACTATATGATATAAGATATTGTACATTGCTCATGGTGCCCCATGAAAACAAAGTTCTTAATGAATTATCAACAAAAACGTGTGATGCAGTGCTTGCGAAAATAGACCCATTTGATTATGATGTTTTTAATCCGTTTATCCACACTAACGTTAAAAAATCTGTTCAAAGATCTTTGGTTAGTACCATATTATAATCCTAGGGAGTTTATATTAGCGATGACGTTTGTAACATCTAATTTTTTAGTTGATATTTGGAAACTTGGTCAGTCATTTGGAACAATTGCATTCGATATTGGGTGCACGTAATGAACACACGAGCAATGAGAGGACCGAACCGCCTGCAGTACTTGCAGTTTGTACAGGAGCACCATGGTTCCCGCCTTTAACCGTAACTGCTCCAACAAGAAATTTGCCAATTTTGTCAATGCCAGTACCCGATAAAACGCAAGTATGTCTCGAATACTTTTACAATTAAAATTGAGTGCTTTCCATTTGATGACACAAGCCGACAAAGTGTCGTTCTATCTTTGTCACTCTCTGACTGTCAAGAAGGATAGAACGACGCTTGTGTCAACTTGTGTCAAGCACTCAAGTTAAAATAGTACATTTGTTAAATTTTTTCTTCATAAATATATATACCTATTCATAGATTTTGCCCTTTGAAAAAGATAAAAATATCACGATGCATACATTTGGTAAGCCGGTAAAGCGATCTTGCATGACGTGATTTTGCATTAACGCAACTAATAAGTTATATAATTAATTGTTTACATTGCTCGTTATTTTTATTTTAAAAGATACGAAAGGATTAAAAAATACTTTAATGGATCATGTTACGTTACATAAAATTTGTTAGGAGAAATATAATCATAATTGGATATAATATAAATGCAATTAGAATAACAATTAGATGTTTAACGTAATTTAATAAGTGTTTTTAATTCAATTATGTTTTTAGTTTAATTATATTATAAGGTATAAACGTCTACTTTTGCGAGATCGCGTGTGATACTAACACAATTTTGTGAACATGTATTAAAAATAATTATCTTTCATATTAAAATATGCATTTATTTACAGCGCAAGAAAATAACGAAAGAGCACGCGAAAAATGAGCCTACTAGTGCAATAAAATCCGGAGCAGCCGCGTTCTTCGGTGCTATGGGATCAGATTGGTTTGGCAGTAGCAATTAACTATTTTTTTTTTATTTTAGAAAGATATTGTAAATATTGTGTCATATATCATATTGTAAATAATTGTTAGTAAACAATATCTTTTTACTATCTATTACCTGTTTTATACTAATTAAATAAATTAATCTTTAAATATGTACTATAT